CAGTCTCCAAGATAAAGTAAATTGTTTTTTATTGCACCCATCTTTGTGCCAAGTCTTGACACCAAATCTAGAGAGCCAAACAATGTGAATTAACAAATTCTCAGTTCCCTGCAGCAACCGGAGACGACAGTGACTGCATTAGCATAGTTTCTCTGCTGCCAGTTTCTTATGCCAAGCCCTGCTATCAACATATTTTATTGTGCTTTTCACTCTCAGCTGTTGTCTTCCAGTAAATAGGACACTTAATTTAGGGAGGGAGGTGTTTTATAATGAACACCTATTAGGATGGGTTTGGATTACCCATTAGTGTAGCCTTGCTTTACAAAGTAAAAGCCAGTCCTGAATACTGGCTTTACTTGATGGTTTGTATAACCTTTTTCTTCTTTTCACCATAACATCTGAGAACCACATAAGCATTAAATACATTAATTTATTTATCCACAGAATTCCCCTGTGAATAAGGGGAGTACTATTATCCATACTACAAACACAGGAAATTAATCTGAGGCCTGAACTGACTGAACAACTTAGACGAGCTCCAGACAGGACATCTGTAGCACAGCTAGAAATTGAATCCTGACTCTCATCCAAGCGTATCTTGTCTACAAGGCCATCTCTCATCTGGCTGGACTTGTCTCCAGAAGAAGGAATGATTTCCTACAGCAGAATCACTGCTATGTTCACTTTAGCTGTCTCAAAATGGGAACAGCTGCTCATTCACATAGGCAAGCACAACCTAAAGCTGTGCAGTCCTGAGCATGCTGGAGTGGGGCTAAGACAGTCCAGTCCCCAGCGTACCCCAAGTCCCTGCCTGGTGACACGGTTGGGTGAACAGAGAGGGGTGAGTTGGCTCCTAAAGGAGCCTAAATCCTATAAAGATTTTGAGGCAGTCTGTGAGGCAATTATCTGGCAGAGCTGCCCGATCAGTTTGTGCGATCATTACATAATGGTTTCACTACAAACTCAGCCACCTTTGCATGGGTTAAGGCCCCATCCTTGTCCTGAAATGGAAGAGCCATTTTCACTTGGCATTTTTGCTTCACTTTCACTTATACGGTTCAACATCCAGTTACGAGGCAGTAATTTCCAAACTCATTCCAATATAACTATGCCTTTTGGCACACAGTGATTTTTTTCAGTGTACCTCAGTTCATTGTGTCAGGTGTAGTGTTCTTAACATTACAAGTATAAGCTGATTATTTTTAATATTGGCAGCATCCTTGAACTTCACTTCTCCAAATTCTCGTGTGTTCTCTTATTTAAAAGGAGTAATTAAAATAATTTGGATTTATTGAGACACACAGGAGGGACACTGTACAAATGTTTTTATATGAGTTGCCAGTAGCTCTTGTAGTGTGTTCATTTGGGAGACTTCAGGTCTTAACTTTTTTTTTTTCCCTTACACTGCCACAACAGAGTGATATTTAAACAGCTTTTACAAGCTAAGGCCTTGAGTTACCTCCAAATTGACAGCTGCTGGCCAGGAAGTGTGAATGAAAACTTGTCTGTGCTGCTGATGGCCAAAATGTTCCAGAATAAGGCTCTGCAAAATGCAGCAGCAATGAGAAAATCTTTCTCTCCCCATCCTCCAAGCTAGTCTGATTAGTTTCTTCAGCTGTCATGCATGTGATTTCTGAGCATAAGCTTGCATGCACTGCTGTAATTTTCTTTGTTTTGTGTCATGCTGCAGGGCTGTGCCAAACGGCTCTTGATGTCTTGGTATTAGGCACTGTTTTCCTGTAGTATGGACTTGGGGGTGTCTGTGAGTTAGGCCAGCACCTGATAATATTTGATTATATCCCAGAATCTGAAAGCAGGTTAGTTATAAGGAATAGCAGTTGACTATGGCAACTGTTCTTTTTTTTTTTCTTAAAAAAGATGTTGCTACATGGTGGTCACAGCATGCATTTGTCTTGTTACCCTTCAAGCCCACTTACCTGTGGACTACATAGAGAAGTTAGAAGTGTGGATTAAACTTCAAGCAGGTGAAAGTGAACAGTGTGTGGGTTTGATAAAGGTACTTGAAACCTGGGCTGTATTCCATATTCAGACACTTCACAGATGCCAGTCACTATGGTGGCAATCTCACCAAGTCAGACTAATTAACAGACTGTTGATTCTGATGGCTGATCAGGTAGGTGTTTCTCTCAAAATTCAGAAACAGTTACTTGTTTTTTCTGACCCCTCATCTATCATGCCAGATAACTAATATTCTTTCTGGTATTGCAGTAAGGCCAATTTTGCCATGTATCATAACACAGCGGAAATGACGTGGTTTCCAAAAGCTTGGCTAAGAACTCCCTCCATAGAGGGAGCTGGTATTTGAGCAAACTGGTAAGAAATTCATTTGCTGTCTCCAAGTTGATTGAATTGCCCTTGAGAAGTGGGGAAATTATAAAAAGATGCATTCAGAGGAGGAATGACAGAAGAGAGGAAACTCTTCAAGGCCAAATTGTGAGGCAGGATGAGCATAGCAGTCAGCAGGGCAAACGGTAACGACTCAGCATGCTATGGATATGCAGAGCTGGGAAGGAAGTGACTTCTAAAGCCACCTGCACAGCTCTTTAAGTCATCAGCTGGGGAGCATGAGGGACAGGGAGCTGCTGGAACAGCTTATTCATAAGGAAGTCAGTCCCTCTTCTCTCAGTAGGCCTATGGGTTCCTTTCATAGCTTCCCAAAAGCATCTAACAATGTCTCATGTTTTGTCTGAAATACCGCTCATACACAGCCTGCAGTCATACCAGTCATCTTTGCAAGGAGTGAAAAGTCTTCATATTCTGCAAATGAAAATTCCTTGACTATTTTCCTGTTTCAGTCTATATGTTCAAACTCTTTGAATATTGACATTTTTTGCTTGAAATCATAGAAGTCTGATACCTATTAATTAAAAATGTGTATTTTCACTTTTATTCACATTCAAATCTGCTGCATAAAACCTGAGACTGCTAATTCCCACTAGTCAAGCCCTGAAGCCAACATGTTGTTTCATATCCTCTCTGGCTACACTTGCTAAAATGCCCTGCAGATTCCACCTTATCTGACCTGTTACATAAAGCGGTTTCCAGCGAAAGGAACTTAACTTGCTAAGTGTAGGCAGAACTGTTAAGTGAATTTGCAACCTAAACTGTTTTCTTGTACTTTAGAGGGCTGTATATACACTCAAGAACCTTTAACTTATAAACTATGCACATGGTAAGAAGTTGCTGACAACCTACAGCTGGGAGGTATCATTAATGCAGATGACACCTGGAATATCTGAACTAGGTGACTTTAAAATATAACACTAGTTGAGCTGAGATGAGATTTATTAGAAGGAGCATGTGTCATGGCTTTCAGGTCTAGTAACAAGAATACTGCTACTATTACCTGTGAGTTCAGTAGTTCAAAAGAATCACAGAATAGAATCATAGAATCATTAAGGTTGGAAAAGACCTCTAAGGTCATCAAGTCCAACTGTCAACCCAACACCATCATGCCCACTAAAACCATGCCCCAAACTAAACCAAGACCCAAGTGCGTTTAACTACAGCTTGGCTACTGAGTGTCCATTAAATGCAGCCTCAGAAAAAGCCAGGTTTGATCCTTCCATGTCTCTAGTTTCTCATATGATCTCAGCTGAAATAGCACATAACTTGATCACCTCTGTTCAAGAAAGATGGACTACAGTAGTAACGAGAAGAACCTTTCTAATATCCAGTGGCCTACTTACAACTGATGTACTTACAAAAAGTAATGACATCCTTTTTCTGCAATCTTATTGTGCTGGGCTTAAATGTCAGGAAAAGAGAACGATTTATTTTTTGAGCACATGACATGGCACTACAAAAAATTTAGTCTGAAGATCAGTACAGTGAGATTTGCAAATAATTTTGATGCAAAATATGCTTTTGAAAGTTATGATCAGTTTGGTTTAAGAAAGATGCAGCGGTCCTCTTATGCAGGCCCCTGAATGAATGAAATCAAAGCATACTGTTTATTAAATTGTTAGAATTATCTCAAATTGTACAATTTTACAATGATATTTACCAGTTTACAGACTTTAAAAATTCATCAAAAAATTACTATGCATTTCTGCATGTGCTCAAATATGTATTGAATATGCTATGTCTGAATATTAACCATAGATTCATCCACAATTGAATTCCTGAAGAGGAATTTTATAAGGTCTGAAGTTACTGCAGAAGTTGCAAGGATAAGAGAGATGAAAGCTGAATTCTGCGAAGATATAATTAATGACCTCCAATTCTACAAATACTACTATGTCTAACATTTACTGCTCCAAGCTGCAATATTAGTCCATATATTTGTGGGATCTGGTTTTAAACGATGACAGACAGATTATTACTAATACTATCTGCTAAACTCTGTTTAACTAGAGCTCTGTTTGATTTATATCAAATTCATCATTCATGGAGGGTTGATGTTATGCGGAGTGCATTTCAGACAAGGCTCCATTAAGATCTTATGTCTTCCTGCTGGTTCATCTATGAAGACCATGGGAAGTTTGCGTTTGGTTTTCCTTCCTAGATCTCACCTTCCAAGATCCTAAAGTAAAACAGAATTTACCTTTGCTTTCCAAATTTTACTTCCTACTAACTACAAACCAACATACTAAAATTAAATATGTGTCTTCCAGAATTTTTTTTTAAAAAGCTTTATTAAACATATACTCTTTAGAACATATTTCAAGACTTCTACAACCTTGAAGGAAGCCTCTATCATGAAGTTCTTATTTTCAGTACTAAATAAAGCATGTAAGCAAGTGCTACACGACATAGTAACTGAATGGTAACAGAAGTGGCCACTGGTAACTGAAACAACGTGTAGAAAACTGTCTCACTAACAACTTAAAACTGGGTTAGCATTTGCATAGTAGAGCAGGAATAATCATCTGTTCTGTATGACTACAGTTCAGTACTGAAGACAGTAGCAGTCTACTAGTATCTGTTTCCTTTTCAATAATAAAGTATGTATCTTTAGAAGTACATAAAAACCCCATAACTTTAAGTACAGAGAAAGCTAAGTAGCTTAGGTACATTTTCACATTAAAAGCAGCTGGTTTATAGCATTAAACAGCCATCTCCATTTTAATAGGTGGATGAGGATTATAATCTTCAATCTGAAAGTCTTCTGCCTTAAAGTCACTGATGTCTTCAACCTTGCGAAGAATTCTGAGTTTGGGGAAAGGTCTTGGTTCCCTCTGAAGCTGAAATAAAAGAAAGCTTATTGTATAAAGCTAATGCTTGAAGGAAGAGATTTTGTGTTATAAATTAAATCTCATTAATCTCAATTCAGATTACACTATGTAGATTTTCCCTCCTCCCCAAGAAGATTTATACTCAAAAAAAAAGAAAAAAAAGAGAAAATTATAATACAGTTAGGTGGACTCTACTTTAGTATTTTGATAGGGAGCAGTAGCATAATTTTAAAGTGGATTCCCTGATCATGAAAATGCAGTGCAAGCATTTTCAGTTTGCAGAGCAATTCCAGTGGTTATAGATTAGATTCCTTCCAGAGGAAACTAAATTGGAAATTCTGACCTAGATGTGCATCAAATGTGCTGCAGTTTCTCAAGGGAACATTTGGGTCCAAACTAATAACTAGTTCTCTGGATGGTTTTGAATGGTGAGGACATTCAGTCTGAGTTCAGCCTAATCAAATAAAATTCTGATTTGCTCCTACTGCAACAAGTTACTTCCCGAAGAAGATATAGCCTTATTCAGCCAAATAGTAATACTTACTAGCTGTGTGAATTGGTAAGTTATCCTTTTCTGCTATACTACAAAGACATTTGATTTTGTGTTTATCTTATCTGTATTAGGCAGAATGTTTTTTCTAAGGTTTTAGAATGATGAAGTCAAAAGTAGGGGTACAGATGCTGTATCTCTAACTTGGTTCTAGAATAGTATACTGATGTACATTTCAATCATGTTTATACTGTATTTCTGATTGCGACCTGAGTTGAACAGAGGTTAAGGTACTACAGTTATTAGGGTAGCAATGAGAAAAAAGACACACAAATTAATATTTGCAAAAGGGTATTTATAAAACCAAGATAACTTTGTATTGGATAAGCACTGTGGAAGATAAAAGGATCCAAGAATACAGAATAAGTACTTACTTGAACTTTTAGAGGTTCCACATGATTCAGATATATGTGAGCATCTCCCAAGGTGTGTATGAACTCCCCAGGCTGAAGAGAGAGGAGAATACATGTGGTTTTCAAATAGTCAGGTTTCAAGAAAGCAAAACATTACAATGCTTACCGTATTGATCCTTAGCATCTTACATCTAGTGTGGAATTGCAGCTTCTGTACGGACTGGATTATCAAGACAGCCTTGCAAGCTTTGAAGGACACTATCTTCCCGGACTAATGCATAATTAACAAAAAATATAATGACATTTCCACCAGCTTACCAAAAATTTTATCTTTTAAATCCTGCTAGGATGATAGCTTCGGTAAACGAATCGAGCACTACTGATCGGCTCACCAAGATGGAAACAGATGGGGCAGTGATACCCAGCTCTTCCACTCCACCTCTAGTAAGTAGGACTTGTCAAAGCTGTTTTCAAACTAGTTGCCTTAGCCACAACTAAACAGTGTAGTTTGTGGCAGTGGAGGTGTCAGTCACAGGCTAAACCCCCAAAGCATTTATCACGTATCCAGATGGGTTTTGCAAGCGTGCAAGTTCTGTGACTTAGCAGCCCCTGAGGAATCAAATTTAACTTAGGTAGGTTTTATCAGCTATTTTACAGGTCTCTGACCAACACAGATCAGCCTTCGGATATATTATGCTAAAAACCACCAAAGCTGTGAGAGGAATTGGCTGAGAGGCAACAGCTGCTTTATGGACATAATGTTAAATTTCACTTTTTCTAGTACTTTGGCCTAATTTCTTAAGTATGTCTGCAATTGCTGTGATGTCCGATTCTTCCCTACTTCCCTATTTTAAGTTCCCCTTCATGTTGCTAATAGCAGGAAGACCAGGTCCAAATGGTCTTGCTTGTATAATTTTTTACATGCTCTAAAGAAAAGGGGGTTTCACTTGTACAAGATTGTGGTGCATTTAAATTACTCTGCCAAATTACAAAATACAGCTCTGGAGTCAAGGCAGTAGTTATCTGAGCACACACTACCACTCTACATAATCACCTACAGTAGGAAATGAAAAAAATACCCAGCTGAAATTATAGCTGGAAGTTAAGTGGGCAGAATATCCGAATTGGAACCTTGACAGCAACTGCTGTGCTACTGTTTGCTTCCCATAAAAAACACATGCTACAAAATTTAATCACTTGTATGTTATTATCCCATCAGGATAAGTGCACAGTTCAGATTTCTAAGAAGTAGACTAGTGGAACAGGTCAGCTTTGGCATGTTTAGTTAAAAAGACCCGGAAGCTCTGTTTGACCTGAATTTAAAAATTCTTACATTGCTGATCCCAACTGCCCACATAGACCAGAGACAATTCACATTAAATTCACAGAGCCCTTTCTTACACGTATTTCAGCAAGATTTTGAACATTATGTTCATTCCGTTTTTCTTGGACATGACATGAAGAGTCATGTTTTAGTCCCTCACTTCTTAGTCAAGATTAAGTAAAATCATTAAATAGCCTACCTTTAGCCCTGTGACATGGGCAATCATGTATGTGAGCAGTGAATAGCTGGCAATATTGAAAGGCACTCCTAGTCCCATATCTCCAGACCTCTGATAGAGTTGGCAAGACAATTCACCATTCAGAACATAGAACTGGCAAAGGGCATGGCATGGAGGCAGAGCCATCAGAGAAATATCTAGGAATTGCAGTACAGGAAGGATGGGGGGAAAAAAAATGGTAACAGCATTAGTATGTTATAAATGTAGAAGATGCAAAACCGGAACAAGCATTTAACGAGATAAAGAAGAGAGCAAAAATCCAACTGCACTATGATTCTGTTGCTTTTTCTCTTGTTTAAAAGCACCTGCTGTATAAGCAGTTAAGTCTGGGTCATGACAACCTGCCTCTTGGGCTGTATGACCAGAAAAGTCATAAACAGATATTCCACAGAACAGATCTATGCCATAATGCTGCACAGCAGTTTAGTTTTATTCACCTCGGTGAGACAGTTGATTTCCCTAAAGAAAGGCATTAAGAGTAAAATTAAGCATGTACCCTAAAGTGACTTCGAACTGCTTCATGTTAATCTCCTCCCATTGTAGCATGCCTTTACTGCTTGTTGAGATATAAAAGTAATGATCAATAAAAAAATAATAATCAGAAAACAAAAGATCTTTTGAGTGTTTATCTACACTTAAAAGTGCAGTTACTGCAATTACAGCTTGGTAAGGAAATCTTCAGCCAGGTATCTCCCGATATTTGAGAATGTTTAACCTTAAAAATAACAGCAACAACACATGGCATGCCCTTTCAGAGACACGAGTGGAAGATGCCGGGTGATTTTTATTTTTTTTGTGCACAGATCTACTGCTGCTGAAGTTAAACATTCTCTGGCACTAACTGTTATTCAGAAGTAGCCCTACAAAGTGAATGGATAGCTAGACAACCTGTCTTCAAGCAGATGATTACAACACAAATAATATTTTTATTCTCTAATTTTTGGATTTTTGTTAAGTTTACAATTTATTATATGGCTAAAAACCAGACACGTTGCTTTGGTATACTCTTTCTTGTTTTTTTAACCTTTTTAAAATAAGAATTGCTGTCTCTGAACAGAGACAGTATATCAAAGACACTGGTAGCCAAGTATATCCCTCACTTTAACCTGCAGAGAAAAACTTCGAAGTAATGGTTCAAAATTTTTGAGTTCTGAACATAAGAATTAAGTAGAAAGAGAATCAAGCCTATAACCTATGGTCATTTTTACTACATTCCTGGTAGTTTTATCAAGAATAAGCAAGGACACCAAATGGAACTGACTGTTGACATAGGATTAGAACATAGTTTAGGAGACATCAAGATAATGTGCAACTACATTCACTTAAAGTCTGCTATTCAATACCTTTAGGATTCCAAGCACACATAATGATTCTTCTGTCATCTGGATTGGTTTTGATCGTTTCAATCACTTTTTGCAACTGATCAACTCCTTGGTTGGAGTAATCTGAAGAAAGATGCCAAACAAGATCTAAGTCAGACAGATTCAAGTCATGCTGTATTTTTAAAGCCCAGCCCACATCCCACTGAAAAGTGATACCTAAATGACAACCTCCTAAGATTTTACTGTAACTCAGCAAGTGATTAAATTTATCAGTTGGCACCCTCCAAATGTAGGCTATTCTTGGTCTTCCTTAGGGTGCTCTAAGGCTTGTGAAATTTTCATGATGGTATTTTCGTATGTCCCCCATCTCTTTTGTGTGCTTTGAGTACCTTTAGCACCCACTGAAATAGGACCATTCCTATTTAGAGAACTTTATTCCAAGCCTCAACAACTAGACATGTTTTAAGACCAAATAAGAAGTCTGCATAAACACCACATCCCAGGAAACAAAAGCTGCAATACAAAAAAATTAGTTGGACAAAGCATGTTGCTTTATCATTCATGATGACTTGTTACCTAAATAGGACAAAAGCTGTACTGGAATGGGTAAGATATTATGACCTAGTCATTCATGGTATTTAAACTAATTTGCTCATTGCATTTCTGGATTAAGATGGTAAACTTACACGCTACAGTTCTCCTTCTTAGGGAAAAAAAAAAAAAAAAAAAAAAAAAAAATTATGCCCAGACCAGTAACACAGGGTGCCAGCATTCTTTGCATGCTGAAAAGGAGAAAGTTTTTGACAGATGAATAAATGCATCCTATTTAGCACTCGCAGGGTCATGTATGAAAACTAAATTTCCATAGCATTTAATGTCAGAAGGGAACTTTAATCATGTATAGCACAGGATATTACATTTCACCCAATGACACTCACAGGCTGATTTTTAGGCTTAATACCAGTTATATAAGAAATTCACTGGAATTAACTGAACATCAGAATGGCTTCCAGAATGAAAGAATCATTAGCTGTTACTCACTGCTCTGACTCATGCCAGTGAATCAGCATGGCTGGTAACTAATTTTTTCTAATAACTCTCACTGCAAAGCAATACCAAATTATGGTTACAGCGAGACCCAAGCTAGCAAACAAGGTAGTAATACATAATTAGCATCTTAGGGAATTCTTCTGCCAGCAATACTGTGCCAGAAGCCTTTTCAAATGGCTATGTTAGTTCCTAAAGCTAATTACCTATCCATTAGTAATGCATTTTAAGGAAATCTATTAGCAATGAAACCTATGGGAATTTATCTTGTTCCTTTTTTCCAAGCTATATTATGCCTCAGACCTTTTTTAAGTTCAGGAATGCAGAAACATTTTAGTAAGTTTTTAGACCTGTCAGTCCACAATTTGCATCATTTGTGTTAGCATAGAAGCGTATTCTGCCAGCGGTCAACATGCCAATACTAAGTCTAATATCTGTAACTAATGTGAACTTTGAGACTGTATTGATAAAAAAACAAGAGGAAAAAGCATAATTAACCATGTTGTTATTCTGAGTTAAAAATCACACCAACCACATGGGGACAATCTTTTATGACTCTGGGTTTTTTAATGGCAGTCCCCTAAACATTTTGTACATCCCCTTCTTCAGTGACTTAGAATCAATACACTTCAGAGTAAGTTTAATGAACCAGTTCCACTGGAAAGAATTTCAGCAGGTACTGCATCACATGATAACTCGTTACAGCTATTCTGTCCACAGTATCATCAGCTATGGATACATCCTACCTTGTTCCAGCTGTAGAATGGAAAAATTTTTCTCTTCCAGAGTCTCAAGTGAATGTCGTGCACTAACACCAGTTCTTGCCAGCACAATCGTATCATGGAAATTAGGACCCTGCATTGGTATTCTGGAAGTGAGGTGTCATAGCCATCTCACTAAGCAATCATGATTGTATTTCCATGTGATTACCTGTGTGCATATCTTTGTATTCTGCTCCAAAGTGCCTCCACTGGAAACCATAAACTGGTCCCAAATCCCCCTCCTCTCTGGTGCAGAAACCCTGCTTATCCAGGAACTCACGTGATCCATTAGCATCCCAAATCTTCACACCCTTTGCAGAGAGCTCTTTGGCATTTGTAGAACCCTGCAAAACACAGAAAATAGGAAGTCTACATCCTAATCCCAATACAGAGGACATGATTTGAAACAGCTATATTAAGCTTTGCTAGTCTACAGTATTTCTCCACTTATAAAGAATGAAGTTCTTGCACATGGACAGAATAAAACTTACGAGCAAGATACTAGGATGAAGTCTGAAGTGCCATGCTGCTGTTCTTTAACTCAGGATTATTCTAAACTTGTACATGCACAAACAGTACAGTCTCAAGGTCAACTGTGGTATATCATCTCATACACACATTTGCAGAGAACAAGATTTTACTTTACAGATGGATAAAAGTAGACAAACAAAAAAATGGCAGCCTAGGCATTGCCTTTGCCAAACCACCTATAATGAGCTTAAGGTCTTAAAAATCCTTTTGTTAAAATGACAAAAATGACAAATATGACCCTGAGAAATCTGAGTTCTGCAACATGTCCAAATCAGCACACTCAAAAATTCAACCTAGGAAGTGTTCTGTTTTGGGGAGTGTCTAGTCTTTTATATTTGAGAAGAGATACTTCAAAAAAATGAATATGTATTTGAGTCCTAGCAAATGGCTAAGTAGACCTTTCCATAGCTGCACAATGTTACAACATATAAAGGAACACTTAGATCATAATGTATTATCTACAGTCGAATTTTAATACTCTAACTACAGCTATTAGCTCTACTGGATCTCAGGTTCTTGCTACTAAAAAGCCTAGTGTTTACATCAATTTATTTCACCTGTGGTTCTGCACGGCTTGTTTCTGTCCAAATCAATAAAAGCTATCTCAATATTAAAAAGCAGATCATTAAACTGCCTACAGCCTACTTCATATTATTATTTCTTATTCAAACACTACTAAAACGGATTGTACTAGGTTTTATAACTGTGGGGTATAGGAAAATTGCCAAAAGCCCTCGCTACTTCAGACTGTTTTCCTTAAGAAGAAAGACAAGAACTCTTCCAATTGGTAACAATGCAATAGTATCCACTAAAATGCACAGTATGTTTTGAAGATAATGGCTTTCTGCGTATAGTCAAAACATTCGGTGGTTGCACTTCCTCCGTTTTGCCACACAAACAGAAGCGCCTGCAGTTACTCCAAATTCCTTAATTCACCCCAGCGTAGTTTGTCTTGTTGATACCACTCTCAGGCACACCACCCACAGAGACATCCCAATGCCGAACCTTGATGAACCACAGCAACTCCTCCAGCACTCCTTTCCAGAACACCCTCTTCGTTGTTAGCAGTGGAAACTGATCTGAAAAAGAGTTTCAGAGTGTCAGAGGTGATCAGCGATTTGTCAGTGACCTGACTTCGGTTCTTCTCCATATAGAGGGTAATGCCATATCTGACATTCAGAGGTTTGGAGATGAAGTAAGAAGTTGGCAAAGGATGTGTAATTCTCACATTCAGAGCAAGGAAGACAAGAACCTGACTTTTATTTTCCTGGACAGAGAGGGAAGACGAATTATCCATGGGGACTCTGACAAACTGTGCCATGAGGACGCTGCGGTGCAGCCTACAGATGTATGTGTAGACATTAGTAATGGAAGGTAGAGGCTTAAGATAAAATTCTTGGCAAATCTGTTTCACAAACCATCCTTCTTACTATGCTTGAATGATGGGAAGGGCCAAGACAGGCTCTCTCAAGATCTTAGCCGTTTTTCACCAGGTGATGGCTGTGGGGCCGGGCCAAGCCTGGCCGTTGGGCCGAGGGAGAGGAGGCTGGCGGGCAGGGAGAGGACGAAGGCGCTGCTGGTACAGACCTAAACGCCTCCATGGGCCCCTGCA